TTACACTCTCACGCTTTGCGAGGGTAAGAGGGAGGAATTGCCCTGTGAGGATCCAGGAGAGCTGGCCTGATCACAGCCATCACAGCAGCCAATCATTAAATTGTGCGTTGTACATAGGCTTGGGCTATGTCACTGCGCAAGCTGCTTACGTGTTTGTCAGATGTGAGCCATGCGCTGCATCACTGTGTTGGAAAGCATGTGACACCAGCAACCTGACATCTCACCATTTTATTCATCTCGTGACAAATGGCGCTTAGTGGCAATCGCACGAAGGACTAGTCATATCTATGTGGTGCGCTGAGCGTTAGCCTTTCGGCGTCTCCACTGGACAACAGAGTGAAGAGCCACACACTAACAATCCAGCGTGCTTAGAATTTGGCCAAACGCGACTCCTTTGGCAACTAGAGAGAGCACATCATCCAGACAGCACAATGGTGTAAAACCATTCTATCGGACTTGGTTCGTCTGACATTGCTTCATATATTCCATGACATTCCATGTTCCCACAGGTCAACATTTAAGCCTGTCATTGAAGGGCAAAATGTTTGTCACACCTTAATAAAACCAGTACTGTCATGGGCAGTAAAGCGGAGCAGCGGTGGTCAAGTAATGTAACACAGAAGTAATAGTAAAAGAGTAATAATTGTAATAGTATTCAGAAACGTTAATAATGATATAAGATAATCAACTTGACCCGCAAGAGTCGACGTGACCCGCGGCACACGATTGGGTGGGTCATAAAAGGGGCGTGACGACGACGACCCACCAGTAAGAACGCGTGGTCAAAGGGTCACGCGTGAACAGAGAGTAGTCGCGCATAACGGACCAATAGCGGCACGCGAATTAGCTGCATGCTTGACCGAAGGAACACGGGCCAATAATAAACAGTGCAGCTAAAACAATAGAAGTAGCGTCACTATAAGAAGCTTGTGAAATAAGGTACGAACTCTCTAGCAGTTTTTGCATCTCAGACGACAACGTATCTACCCAGTTTGTTAGTTCGCAGCAGTGACGCTACACCGCACTATGTAAGTTATGCTTTGTATTTCGCGTACTTTTCTGTAAACAGTCGTGTAGTACTCTGTACATTAAAGATGTTCTTACCTTGTATACGTACACGCATGTTCGAGCATTTTGTAGTTAACGAGCGGTGCGATACCTCTCAATAATATACGTAGACCACGAACGTACGATCACGGGTAACACCCTCGAGCAGTTAAGAGCTATGACTATAAAGTAAACGTTACACATTTGCACAGCTTATACGTACTTATGGAACGAGATTCCTTTTTCCTTTGATTATCTGTTTTGTTGATTTCCACAGTGGATAGCAAAACATTGCGTACCAACTGTTCGTCGCGAGCTTTGTACCGATTTTTGATCGCTGTTGAAATAGCTATGATCAGCCATATTTCTACAGTTCTGCCCAGCATGTAATGTTCCAATATGGCGGCGCGGAATCTCGTTTGAGCTACTGTTAGTTCATTGGTCGCGGCCAGTATTATAGGATAGGATGTCTATGGTCCCATGCCCTTGCCATCCAAAGAAGGAATCCACCATTGGCCGATTAATTAACCATTCGAGAAAGTCAATGAAAATTAATATAAAGCCTGTTTGTGTAAGTCTTGGTGAAATAACTGTTCTATTCAAAGCGACCCGTGACATTTCTGTAGATGAGGAGTTGTATTTTAATTGTGGTGTTAGAATGTTCTCTTTTCATGGCGAGGGTGCAGAACTAGACTGGCTTGATGATTAGCAATAATTCTACATTGCAAGTCATCGTAGCAGTGTGGGTGGTTGCTTAAAAAGGTTGGCTGGGCAGTAGTGTACCCCTACAACCCGGGACATTTGTGGCGACTACCATGCACTCTTACAAATTTATTTCAGCTGTGTATTATTGTACACTGTATGCATGGGTGTTCATGTTTCCATTAATCGTAGCAGTGTGGGTGGTTGCTTAAATGTTGGCTGGGCAGTAGTGTACCCCTACATCCCGGACATTTGTGGCAACTATCGTGCACTCTTGAAACATTATAATAATGTTTTGTAATTGTGCATTGAAGTGTATATTAAAATTTAAAATTTAATTTAATAATTTTACTGAGCTTATATTCCTGCATGTATGTCTGTCAGCCATGTCGTCAGTTACTGGTACTCTCATCAACATGCCATCAGGTACTGGAACTACCATCAACATGCCGTCAGCCCTGTCAGCTACTGGAACTCCCATCAACATGCCGTCAGCCATGTCAGCTACTGGAACTCCCACCAACATGCCGTCAGTCATGTCAGTTACTGGAACTCCCATCAACATGCCGTCAGCTACTGGAACTCCCATCAACATGCCGTCAGCTACTGGAACTCCCATCAACATGCCGTCAGCCATGTCAGCTACTGGAACTCCCACCAACATGCCGTCAGCTACTGGAACTCCCATCAACATGCCGTCAGCCATGTCAGCTACTGGTATTCCCTTCAACATGCCGTCAGCTAGCAGCTACACAAACCTCACTTGTCGTGCCATCGACTACTTTGATTCTGCTGGTGAATGGCCGATTGCTGCACCTACGCCATCACAACCAACTACTATAGTGTAACTAAATTCATCGGCACACTCATCACAAATGTCCTCTGGATATCTCAGCCTGCTACATGAAAATGACCCCTGTGCTGAATGTATTATGAAGACAGAACAGCTGAATGTTGCAAATACTGCAAATGAAATGCTCAGGCTGGACTACTACAGCCTCCTTGAACGTTGTAATGGTCTACAACAGCAAGTGCAACATCTGGAATCTGGTGAGTAGCCTACATAAATAATTTTGTGCCCATGGTGTACATAGGTGTACATGGGATAAATGTAGTCATGGTGTAATTTTACAGATGCATCATATATAATGTTTTCCAGTGCATGCCACCAATACTGTAGCAGCCACCGCAGCAGAAGGTGTCACTCAGCAATGAAGATATGACCGAAACAGAGGCATGCGAGTTAATAAAGCCAAATTTGCAAGTAGTTTTTGAACTAATATTCGAATACCTATCTGCTGTACCAGATATGAATTGGATATACTAATATAGTACCCGTTGAATCCCCAGTCTCCTAAAACTTCAAACTCCTAACCATCCTAGAAGCCATGATGTATTTCTGGAGAAATAATGCGAAAATTTTTCTTTGAAATTTGGTTATTATATTATGCTTGTATACTTATTACAGAAAATAATCCCAACTAGCAGTGATGTCACCTCGAATTGCACTTTACTGGATGCCTCACAAATTGCGGTTCCAACAAACTGGCTGACCGTTCTAATATCTCGCTGTGTAGAGAAATTAAAGCCATTTATACTGAAGAAGATAAGATGATGGATGTTTTTTTAGCCATGGAAAGTCGCGGGGCAAAATTCCACCACTCTGTTGGAAAAGTACCCCCTTGTTGTAGAAGCACTGAGAGGTAAGGTTTGAATACCTTAAAAATGTCATTGCATGTCTTTCTTATAAGATCGATATAGGAACCCCCCCCACCAATATTAAAAATTCATTCCCCAAAACCCGATGGAACCCCTGTAAAACAATAATTGCCTGAAAAACATTTTATTAATGACACTTGGAATCACAATTAAGGAACAGTCTGAAGAGATTTAATAATAGCAAATCCTATCTTCTAATTTTCTGTGACATAATCTTTTATTGAATTTTTTATTATGCAGGTTATGCAACAAACAAGCTGAGACTCTCATACCGAAGAATTACAGATGCTATAAACCAGAAGTGTTCCACTGGAAAAAGAAGGAATAACAGACTGTAAAAAGTTTGTATGTTGATGAATTCAGTGTACACTGTACAGTATGAAATAATAAGGCAGGTTTGCCACACTTTAACATATGATATACTCTAATCTCTGTTTTTCATAGATTAGAACTTGGGGAAACTTTTGGTATTGAATTAGTCAACTAGCCCAGGCAAAGTTGTATGATAAACAAACTCATATGGGGACAAGGCTACTGTGGTAAGACGTAAGATATTCTGTGGTAAGACGTATGGTACCTGAGATATTCTGTGATCCAATGTGTGATCAGGCTAAAAGTCAGTAGTTGCAGCAACCTTGCGGGGAACAGTTGCTGCAACCTTGCTGCAACTATAGTCACAGGAAACTCATTTGCATGGCAAATAGTTACCATTGCCGCAAAGTTGCCGCAACCTTCCAGTGGTTGTTGCAATGATTGCTGCAATGCTTGCCGCAAGTTGTGGCGATCATTGCTGCAAAGTTGCGAATATCATTGCAGTAAGTTGCGGCAGTTTCAGGAAGTTCCTTGTAGTAGTTAAATTGCAAATAGTTAGCACATAACCAGAACTAGCTGCAACCTTGTTAAAACCTCGCGGGAAGAAGTTGCAGGAAGGCAATAATTTTGCTAAGGGCAGTGGTCTCCCCGTAAAATGTCCTGTGCTATCTTGATGCACACTCTTTTCTCAGTGGCTTTACTACAGTGGTAATTAAATTGCTTTTTCTTTTCAGTTTTTGATGGAGAGAGTTTTGTGTTTTCTGGATTAAATTGTGCTCTGGTATTTAAACGTGATTCAAACTTGTTGTTTCAGGCATTAAAAAAGATCGGGTGACAAGAATCGCACGTTACTATTCAAAGAATGCCAAGCCTCGACCAGAAAATCGTGGTTGGATCAGAAATGCTGAAGAGGTAGAACAAAAAGCCCAGCAGGTGAAAGATCATATCAGCTCATTTACATGCAAGGCCAGCCACTACATACGACGTGGTGCACCTGGATGAATGTACCTGCCCTCTGATATCTCCATACGAAAAATGCACACTATGTTTAAAGAACAGAACCAGGTTCAGGTCAGCTATTCATTGTATTATACAATTTTTACAACTCAGTTCAATCTTGGTTTTGGACATCCCTCCACTGACGCTTGTGCCACATGTGTCAAACACCGTTTATCAATGAAGGATCCTGCTCTGACTGAAGACGAAAAGAGGCACAAGTCGGCACTGTTCATTTTACAAGGAGACGCGCAAGGGTTTTCTATGACAGGCTAGCATCAGTTGCACCAGACGCAATAACATTGTGTTTTGATATGATGCAGAATATGGCGCTTCCACATACACCTATTGGCCAGGCTTACTATTCATGGCAGCTATACATGTTTTTGTTTGGTGTGGTCATCCATCATGCACAGGATGAAAAACAATCAAAAGACAACATCCACCTGTACACTTGGTTAGAACATGAAAACCGCAAGGACTCCAACATGATCGCCTCAGCTCTTGATGACTGTTGTCGTGTCAGGCTCAATGGAGTAATCTGTAGGAAAACAGCACTGCGTGCTTTTAGTGATTCTTGTTTCGGTCAAAACAAGAACAAGGCCCTATAAGAGGCCACAGCTTTTTACCGGCGGATCGTGTTTTTGTAGGATAGAGCAAGAAATACGAAAAGATGACACTATCCTACACCCAGATGGCTACTATGACATTCTGAGAAAACACGGTAATCACTACATTTACGGATATAATTGGAATGCATTTGACTTCAAATCGGAGGTTCAAAAGTTTGTTAAACAGCAAAGGACATCCAAGCTCAGTGAGGCAAGAATTATCTGCTTGGTTAATGACCTGGTTGGTTTTAAGACCAGTTATAATGGTGAATACTGCTACCAGTGTTCTCAAACGTGGCAAAAGCTGGGGAAATTTCAAACCAGGTCCAAAACCTAGCTATGGTCTCTACGGTCAAGGCAGCCAAAAAAGCTGATGTGGAGAATCTGCTTGCAGAAATCGTTGCCCCAGAAGAGGCTCAGTTCTATACCATGGCACTCCGGGGTACTGGTGAGTCAAATGACAGTGGGAGTAAAAATTAATAGATAAATAGATTCAGATGAGAAGAGTGGTGATTAAGCAATCTAAAGGAAACTTGTGAATTTTGATTACATGGATTACGCATGTGTTCCATAACTGTTCTGGATTCTCTTTTTAACCCATTCACTGCGTAGGACGTAATATTACGTCATGCACAGTGTACACTTACACTGCGTAGGGCGTAATATTACGTCCTGATAGTGGCGCCTCAACCTATTGTTAGAAACTGTACGTCACTTGGGGAATGCCCCTGGGAATCACCCCAAGATCGTAGCATGAGTAGAGCGTTATATTACGACTTGTATAAAGGTTCGTCTAAGTGCGTAGGACGTTATAGTATGCCTTGAAAACGTGGGCAACGAAATCTTTGCAACGGCTCGGTTATTTCCGCAACTAAACACCAGGTCGCAGCACTGAGCAGTACTAGCTAACAATGGCATCTTCCAGCAAGCGCAAGCTTTCTGAAGCGGAAGTTTTGAGCCGTATTCTTGAGTCAGACGATGATTTGTCGTCTTTCGTTGATTCAGAATCAGAAGATAAACCTGACGATTGGGATGAGGCGTATTTGGTAAACGCTAGTGATTTAGACACTGAATCTGAGGGTGATGGCGCCGGTGATGTTACTGCCAGTAGTAATGACCGTGACTCTTATTGCCAGTAGTAGTGACAATGATGCGCCCGCGCCCCGTCAGGGGGCTCGTGGTCGACCACGTGCAAGAGGTCCATGCCGTCCTATTGTGCCAGATCGGGATTGGAGTCCACATGGTCAAGCTGGGGACAGGTTCCCTTTCACTGGCAATCCTGGCTTGAAGGTAAACATTGACGACCCAGAGGATCCCCTGGAGTTCTTTGAACTCTTTTTCAATGATGAGTCGATTGATCTGATCGTAACTCAGACCAATCTATTCGCCCAGCAGTTCATGACTGAAAAGGGACCTAGACTGAAACGTCGTTCTCGAGCTAAAAATGGGAGGATACTACTGATGATGAGATGAGGTTTTACCTAGCCGTTCTTCTTTTCCAGGAGGTTGTCCACAAGCCTGAGACAGAGCAGTACTTTTCGAAGAGGGTTACCCTGGATACACCCTTCTTTCGTGACGTAATTGACTTTGACCGGTTCATCCTCTTGAACAAGTTTTTTCATTTCGCAGACAACACCAAAGCAGGAGACGATGATGCCACTCCCCGTAAGCTGTACAAGTTGTGGCCAATACTCCAGCACATGAAGAAAAGATTCACAGACGTTTACGAGCCAGAGGTGGATGTAGCCATCGATGAGTAACTCATGCTGTGGAAGGGAAGACTGGGGTGGAAACAATACATCCCTTCCTAATGTGCACGCTTTGGAATAAAGTCCTTCGAGATATGCGAGTCCAGCTCAGCCTACATCTTGGACTTCTTCGTTTACACAGGGCAGGGTACGACGTACGATCCAGGGCTTGATAAAGGCCTACCAATGGGTTCCAAAGTAATCCTGACACTTGGTCGGCAGTTTTTCAACAAAGGTTACTGCATCAATATGGACAACTTTTTCAGCTCACCTGCTCTCTATGATGAACTCTGTGCAAAAGGGACTGATGCAGTTGGAACTATCAGGCCTAACCGCAAAGGCCTACCCAAAGACTTTCTGCCCAAAAGCAGAAACTTCGTAAGGGAGAGATCAAAGCTGTGTATAGTCAGAAGCTGATGCTTTTGAAGTGGAAAGACAAGAAGGATGTCCACATGCTCAGCACCACCCATGATGCCAGAACCAAGCAAGTAGCGCCAGGAGATCCTAATAATCCACCAGTAATCAAACCACAAGTGTGTGTGATTACAATGACGCCATGGGTGGTGTTTATCTAAGTGACGCCTTCTCTCTCTCTCTCTCTTTCTCACCCCCCGGGCTCTTCTCACCCATTTCCTTTGCGTTGCAGTTGTACACGACGTCGACCTTCCATCTCCATCCATCCGGCGGTGCGGACGACGCACAGCGCCACCTTCTGGACGGCCACGTGAGGGAGCTACACGATGAGCTGCAGACACTTCACGAGTGCCAGCGCCACCTACACTACTCGGGCGGCGACACCAGGCGGCGCACGTGGACGCTGCCGCGTCATGGAGCGCCCCCTGCTGTGATTCGGTACGTGATGTCGACGACTGTCTCCATGACGACGGCGGTCTTCATGTGGACAATCTTCATGACGACAATCGCCACGATGACAATCGCAACAACAACGACAACAGTATCCGTGGCGACAGGCGACAGACTTGCTGGACAGCGTCAACGATGCGCAGTGCCGGCGGCCGGTGGAGTGCGCGGCGGCACCCCCCTGTGGTGGCGACGAGGAGGAGCTGAGCAAACCTCCTCCCAATCTTGCGGTGACGGCGCGTCTTTGCCCCGCCACGACGACGACGACCGTCACGACGACCCGCCAGAACGCCGCAGGGGAACCACACAGGCCGGCGACGAAAAATTCTAGAGGCTTAATAGCATATTACAATAGCCTCGCCAACTAATCGCTGCCCGTCGCCGCGCCGCAGCGTCAACCCGTCGACGAACCCAATCGTCGGGAATGTGTTACCATGGGCGCGACCACTGGGGGGTCAGGGGGGTCACGACCCCCCGACTTTTATGTGGACCTCCCCAACTTCCGGAAGACCTTATTTTCTGGGAGGTCCAAAATAGTCCGATAAGCGTTTATTATCGTGAAACATCCATATTTCACAGGTGAAAGTTAAAATAAATAAAAACCCCAGGTGGTAAAGTGCAGTGTGATAACTGTGATTCAGATTCAGATATCTAAATAGAACCCTTGTTAATATCATTTAGATTCGACCTACATAATACATTCAATCTCACGTGCATGGAACGAGCACGTTATTCACCACGCGTTTGCAAGCCAACTGTGTTATAGCCACACACACCAAATATAGGCCCATCTCCACACAAGCGGCGCGTCGCGTCGCGGCGCCGTTCACCCTTACCTTCTAATCTATGATATCTTCTGGCGCAGTCTCCACTGACACTGCACGGCGCAGGCCTGGTTTCACGGCGATGGCGAAAGTCAATCAATGCGATTGTTTTTTATCACGTGTTCTGGAATCGATATTGAAGCAATTGCAACGGATTTTGTTGCAAAGTGTGACTCAAGGAAGGTCACATTTGGTTTCTAACACTGTTCTCTGTTTTCACGTGTCAGGCATTTTTTTGCATTATTAGTTTCATCATTATTATTTTCCTCTTCATCTTAATCATGCTAACTGTGTCAGACAGTTAGCACAGTCTGTGTGTAGCTTTACTACTAGCTTAATCTAATTAATAAAAACATTTTGGTATTTTATGTATACATGATCCTAGTAATGTCATTCATGAACTCACGAATGATGCAACACTCCGATCAACACGCTAAAATACTATATTGTAACCAATAACGTTGATATTCGCTCTCACGCCTAGATCACGTTGCGTATTGTGCTTGTGACCCCCCCCCCAACTTTCACATGGTTGCGCTCCTCTGTTAGGAGGCATTTTTTTGTGTCTGACAATACTTTCCAACTTCAAACGGCGAATGGAACTGCCTTGCCTTCTGCGCAAAACAAGCTACAAGCCATAAGTAGGACTTACTTCACGTTTATTTGTGTTGTGTATTGTTCTTAATAAAATATTTAATCTCTTTTCCTTTCTTTTTTTATTTTCTCGGAAACCAAAAATAAGAAAAAAATATCTATCTAAGGGGGGAAATCTTTTAGTTGGTAGGGGCCCCTGAAATGCACGAAATATCTCACAAGTTAACAGACGGGGGCATTCGTACTGCTGCGTTAGAGGTGAAATTCTTGGATCGTAGCAAGACGAACAACAGCGAAAGCATTTGCCAAGAATGTTTTCATTAATCAAGAACGAAAGTCAGAGGTTCGAAGGTGATCAGATACCGCCCTAGTTCTGACCATAAACGATGCCAACTAGCGATCCGCCGGAGTTACTACAATGACTTACGGAGGTTACCTACCATGATGTAGAGAGATTGAGACGACGGGACCTAGTGGGTCACCCACCTAGGTTGCCGTACGTATGTATAGATTTTGCATGTGTTACTAATAAAGTCATAGTTTAACAACGAAGCTGTGACTACGTCTACTCTCTACTGCTATCTACGAGACAACGCTGCTACCTTCTACGCGGTCGACCTACGAGAGCCCAAAGTCCTCACCCAAAACCCCAGTACATTAGTAGCAATATTCTCATGCTTTGCAAATACTTGGTTTATATTTTTACTGGATGCTTAGGAGTTGCAATGAACATGACAACGGAAGAATGGAGTGACAGGATGAAGACAACCTACAATGGAAAGAACTACACCATCGTGAGAGTTAAGGAGCACAAGACGGCTGCCACTCAACTTGCCACATTTGCCATTGACGATGAACAAGAGATGGTAAGTATCAAAACCAGTAGCGTCATAAGCCAAATAGGCATATAATTATAGTTCTACCAAGTCGTGCTGTTCAATTTAAATCCTAATGTTTCATGAAAATAAACAAACATATATTCATATGTAAATTCTTTCCCTCATTAGTGGTTCCAGACATATTACACGACGACGACGAAGCATTCTTCTTTCTTTCAATTACTGGGACCAAGCTATTTAATGCATCAAACGACCTGGCAAGACTGCACGAGAGGTTAGTGATACAGCAGCTATCCTGACATGTACAGTTTCTGATGTACATGTATAATCTGGATCACACTGTTCTTCTCGTTTTTCTTGTGCGTGTTGTTATTACTTGTTACTGGATTACACACCAAAGGCTGGCACTTGTTTCGGGCTAATTTGCATTGTATTAACACAGGCGCGTTCCCAAGAACAAGATCCATCACATCACGCATTGAAGAAGCTCATGAAGAAGAACGGATGGAAGCAAAGGCTAGAGGCCTACGTACTTGACAACTGGGTTCCATCATTAGGAAAGCGCGAAAATGTCGGGGAAGAGGTCCAATTAAAAAAGCTCATTATAAAGCAGAAATGTCCCAGCTTAACTGTTGCTCATTCGGAAAAGGGAAGAGGGGTTAAAACCACGCGTCCATTTAGTAAAGGTGAGGTAGTGTGTGACTACCATGGATCACTGCTTATCTATGATAAAGGTGTTAAAAAACAAGAGGAAATGCTGGAGGGGGCTGTCCCATGCCCTTGCCATCCAAAGAA